CTGTTAGGCCACAAAACAAGTCTTAAATTTTTAAAAAGTTGAAATCATACAAAGTATGTTCTCTGATCACAATGGAATGGAACTAGAAATCAATAGCAGATGAAAAACGGGAAAATGAACAAATATGTAGAAATTAAACAACACACTTTTTTTTTTTTTTTTTGAGACAGAGTCTCAGTCTGTTGCCCTGGCTAGAGTGAGTGCCATGGCATCAGCCTAGCTCATGGCAACCTCAAACTCCTGGGCTCAAGCGATCCTCCTGCCTCAGCCTCCCAAGTAGCTGGGACTACAGGTATGTGCCACCATGCCTGGCTAATTTTTTCTATGTATTTTTAGTTGTCCAATTAATTTCTTTCTATTTTTAGTAGAGACGGGTCTCGCTCTTGCTCAGGCTGGTTTAGAACTCCTGAGCTCAAATAATCCGCCCGCCTCGGCCTCCCAGAGTGCTAGGATTACAGGCATGAGCCACCACGCCCAGCCTGCACTTTTAAACAACTAATAATCAAAGAAATCACAAGGGAAATTAGAAAATATCTCCAGACAAAAGAAAATTTAAATAGAGCATACCAAAACTCACTGGATGCAGTGAAAGCAGTGCTAACAGGGACGTTTATACCTATAAAATCTTACATTAAAAAAGAAGACAGACCTCAAATCAACAACCTAACCTCATACCTCAAGGAACAAGAGAAAGGACAAACTAGTAAGCCCAAAGCTAGCAGAAGGAAAGAAATAATAAAGATTAGAGCAGAGACAAACAAAATAGAAAAAAAAAAAAAACAGACGACAGAAAAAAATAAACCAAGAGTTGGTTTTTTGAAAAGATCAACAAAATTGACAAACTTGTAGCTAGATTAGCTTAAGGGAAAAAAATATTTAAATAACTAAAATCAGAAATGAAAGAGGAAGCATTACAACTGATGTCACAGAAAAATATCGTAATATAAATTGATTGTACACCAACAAATTGGATAACCTAGAATCACACAGTGTACCAAGATTGAATCATGAAGAAACAGAAAATTTGAACAGATCTACAACTAGTAAGGATATGGAATCAGTTAATCAAAAAGCTCTCAGCAAAGAAAAACCCAGGACCAGATGGCTTTACTGGAGAATTCTACCAAACATTTAAAGAATTAACACAGATCCTCCTCAAACTCTTCTAAAAAATTGAAGTGAACACTTCCACACTCATTGTATAAAGCCAGTATTACCCTAATACCATAGCCAGAAAAAGATACCAGAAAATTATACACTAATATACCTGACAAATATTGATACAAAAATCATAAACAAAATACTAGCAAACAGAATTCAACAGCACAATAAAAGGATTATACACCATGACCAACTGGGATTTATTCCTGGAATGCAAGGATAGTTCAACATATGAAAAATCTATGTAATACACTATATTAACAGATGAAGGGAAAAAAATAACATGATCATCTCAACTGATGGAGAAAGAGCATTGGACAAAATTCAACACCCTTTCATAATAAAAACACTCAACAAACCAGGAGAAGAAACTACCTCAACATAATAAAGGCTGTATATGAAAAGCCCACAACTTAAATCATTTTTAATGGTGAAAGACTGAAAGCTTTTCCTCTAAGATAAGGAACAAGACAAGGATGCCTGCTCTCAACACTTCTGTTAAACCTAGTAGTAGAACTTTTAGCCAGAGCTATTAGGCAAAGAAAAAAAATAAAAAGCATCCAAATTGGAAAGGAAGATGTAAAATTATCTGTGTAGATGACATGGTCTTATATGTAGAAAACTCTAAAGATTTCACAAAATAACTGTTAGAACTAATAAACAAATTCAGTAAAGTTGCAAAATACAAAATCAACACACAAAAATCGGTTGCATCTCCATACACTAACAATGAACAATCCAAAAAGAAAAATAACAATTCCATTTGCAATAGCATCCAAAAAAAAAAATTTAGGAATAAATGTAACCAAACAGATATGCTACAATCTGAATGTTTGTGTTTTTCTCAACTCACATGTTGAAACCTAAACGCCCACATGGTAGTATTAAGAGGTAGAGCCTTTGGGTGTGATTAGGTCAAGAGAACTCCACCCTCATGAATGGGATTAGTGCCCTTATGAAAGAGGCCCTGGGAAGCTTGTTCTCTCCTTTCACACATGAAGACACAGCTAGAGGGTGGAGGACAAGCACCCTCACTAGACACCAACCAAATCCTTGGTCTTGGACTTCCCTGCTTCCAGAACTATAAGCAATAAATTTTTCTGTTATCTATAAATTACCCAGTCTAAGATAATTTGTTATAGCAGCCTGAAGAGACTAAGATAAAAGACTTGTACACTGAAAACTATAAAACATCACTATAAGAAATTAAAGACATAAATATTATAAATGAAAAGACATCTCATGTTTCTGGATTGGAAGACTTAATATTGTTAAGCTCACCCAAAGTGATCTGTAGATTCAATGCAATCTCTATCAAAATCCCAGTAACATTTTTTGCAGAAGTAGAGAATTTCATCCTAAAATTCATCTAGCATCTCAAGGGACTCTGAATAGCTGAAACAATCTTGAAAAAGAAAAAACAAAATTGGAGGTCTCATACTTCTGTATTTCAAAACATATTACAAAGCAACAGTAATCAAAATGGTATGGTATTGGCATAAAGACAAACTTATAGACCAATGGAATAGAGTAGACAGCCTAGAAATAAACACTTGCATATATGGTCAAATGATCTTTGACAAAAGTGCCAAGACCACTCAATAGGAAAAAGACAGTCTCTTCAACAAATGGTGCTGGGAAAATTAGATATCCACATGCAAAAGAATAAAGTTGGGCCCTTACATCATATACAAAAATTAACTCAAAATACAGACGTAAATATAAGACCTAAAACTATGAAACTGCTAGAAGAAAACAGAAGGAAAGTTTCATGACATTGGATTTGGCAATGCTTTCTTGGATATGACACCAAAAGCATAGGCAACAAAAGAAAAAATAGACAAATGGAATTACATCAGACTTAAAAATGTCTGTGCATCAAAGGACATACTCAACAGAGAGAAAAGACAACCTACAGAATGACAGAAAATATTAGAAGGTATTTACAAATCATATATCTAATAAGGAGTTAATATCCAAAATACATAAAGAACTCCTACAACTCAAAACAAAAAACCAAATAACCCAATTTTAAAATGGGTAAAGGACTTGAATAGACATTGCTCCAAAGGTGATATACAAATGAACAAAAAACATGAAACAAAAACATGAAAAGATATTCAACATGACTAATTATGAGATAAGCAAAACAATATTAAAATGAGATATTACTTCACATCTATTAGGATAGCTATTATTTTTTAAAAAAACAACAAAACAAGTGTTGGTAAGGATGTGGAGAAACTGGAACACTTGTGCACTTTTGGTGAAAATATAAAATGGTATCATCGCTGGGAAAAATAGTATGGAGATTCCTCAAAATATTAAAAATAAAATTATCATATGACCTGGCAATTCTACTTGCTAGGGACTGAATATTTGTGTCCCCCCAAAATGCACATGTTGAGGCCCCATGTGGTCTTTCGGAGGTAAGTAAATCATGGGGGTGGGGCCCTCCTGAGTGGCATTAGTGCCCTTTTAAGGAGAGACATGAGAAAGATGATCTTTCTCTCTCTCCACCATGCTAGGATTCAAGAAGGCATGTTTCTACAAACCAGGTAGAGCGTGCTCACCAGGAACCGAACTGGCAAACACCTTGATCTTAGACTTCCTGGTCCAGAACTATGAGGAGTAAACTGTTGTTGAAACCACCCAAACTATGGTTTGTTTGTTAGTGCACCCCAAACTAAGACTCCACTTCAGGGTATACATACAAAAGAACTGAAAACAAGATCTCAAAGAGATATTTGCACACCCATATTCATAACAGCATTATTCACAATAGCCACGATATGGAAGTAATCCAAATGTCCATCAACAGATGAATGAATTAAAAAAAAGTGGTATATACATATAATGGAACATATTCAGTCTTAAAAAGGAAGAAAATCCTGTCACAGGCTACGACATAGATGAAACTTGATGACATCATCCTAAGTGAAATAAGCCAGTCACAAAAAGACAAATACCATATGGCTCCACTTAAACAAGATCTCTAAAGTAGTCAAATTCATAGAAATGGAAAGCAGAATGGTGGTTGCCAAGGGCTAGGGGGAGGAGAAAGTGGGGAGTTGTTGGTTAATGAACATAGACTTTCAGTTTACAGGATGAAAAAGTTCTAGAGATCTATTGCAGAGCAATGTGAATATTCTTAACACTACTGAAATGTATACTTAAAAATGATTAAAATGGTAAATTTTGTTATGTGTTTTTTAACCACAATTTTTTCAAAAAGGTAAGTAGACAGTTCCAAATGGTCCAGCTTGCACATGAGCCTGGGGGGAGCGTAAGAGAACAGGTATAATAGTGTCTCACCCTAAGTTACTATATTATATTAGTTATAAATACTGAGGAGACTGTTGCAGGGGGTGGAGTTTGATTTTTTTCACTGAAAGCAGAATATATAGCTTGCTATGGATATAATACAGACTTACATCCTTAAATGTTTTAGAGAGATTAGCCCCTCTGACTAAACTGATTTCATCTCTTGGAGTGAATTTACTAGCATATATTATGAATTATTGACTAGGACTACAATAAGGTGAGCGTCCCTGGAGGATTTTGCTGAGCCCAAACCAGGAATGAACCCCAGAGTAGAACCACCCTCAGAAAATCTATTTGTTCCTGGAAATGTAGATTTAGGCTTAGATTTAGGCTTCGAGAGCCCACACTGTCTAGGATGCCCTCATCCCATGAGTCTTGGTATTTTGTAGGGGTAACAGAGGAGCTGTTTGTTAATAACAGCTTTTCTCCAAGCAGAGTAGTGAATTTCTTTTTATTTACAAATCACGGTTCATTTGGCTAGTATAGGATAACAATAGTAATCTCAATTTCTTTTTTTTAATCATTTATTCAAACTTACTCAACAAAGAACACAAACTAATAAACTACTTGCCATCATAACGTTATAACTTACTGAGTGCCTACTGCACATCATACACTGGACTGGGCAATTTGCACATTTAATGGTTTGTTCTAAACTATGCTACAAGAAAAAAACTATACTATGATAAAATAGATATTATTCCCATTTTACAGTTGAAGCTCAAGAAATTAAGTTACTTGCTCAAGGCCCACACAGCTAGCAGGAGAGAGTTAGAATTCGAACTGAGACCTGCCAAATACCTAAGCCTGCACTCTTTCTAATATATCCTATCACCTCTCTAGACACAGAGAGTTACAATTAGAAGGACTGTCTAGTCCAGTCATTTTATTTCAAATGAAAAGAAAGGTAAGATAGTTCCTTTTTCATCTATTTTACTTATTTAGTAAAGAACAGATGGCCTAAAGCAGTCTTCTCTAAGTTTTTCTGCTTACTCTTTCTCTTAATATGAGGACCAGAAAAATACTGGTACCTAATCAAAAAATGTATTATTAGACGTAGTAAGAATTAGTTTAGATGCTTATGTAGTAATGTGTTCCATTCATGTTGACCACCATTCTTTCCATATACATAATCTAATAGTCTTTATTGCATAGTTCATTTAATAAACTGACAAGCACTTAAATCCCTAAATTGCTAAATCAAGATTTTAAGACTAGAACTAAGCTATTTAATAGAGAATAAAAGCCATTTAACTTAAAAAATGTATATCTTCTCATCTTACATTTCTCATAGCAGAAAATATAACCTGTATTAATATATTCATTTTTCCATAATACCTAACAAGAAGAAATGCTTATTCCTCTTTAAAGACTTAGGCTACTCACTAAAACCAGTAGTTGAAAAACTTTCAATATTTGTTAATACCAAAAAAAAAAGTTCATGTTTGTTACCACTTCTTAAGAAGGAAGGAGACCTGACTTCCTGTTTCTGTTGTTAATCTGCATCACGTTAGAAAGAAGGAATAGGCAGGGGTTCCAGGAAGGTGTGATGTCTCTGAATTCGCTTTAGAAGCTGCTGTGCCACAGGTTTGAATTCTGTTTCCCAATGGAATTTGTGATAGTTTTTTAGGTCTTGGTCAAAGCTGCCATCCAGTGCTAGTTCTTCATCTGTATCAGGAAAATTTAAATTACAGCAATTATTTGGAAATGTAACCCTATTGAATAGAGTTTAATTTTTGATGACATGATTGAACTCGCCCTGGGTCATCTTTAATATCAACATAACACAAGATAGGATTTGGGAGACATTCTTTACTCTCTTCTGTTCTTCAAAAATATATTATTTTAAAATAAGTATAATTTAGTTTCTTAATTTAAAAGGGCAATAATTTTTTCAAAAAACATCCTAGATTGAATTAAGCTCTTATTTCAACTAATCCCTTAGTTGTTTTTACATGTAAGTTTGCATCCAAAAGTCAGATCACAATTTCTCAGAATAAACAAAGTATTAATAGGTTACTTCCTTACATGTACATTAGAAAATTTATTTACTTTAATGGTTGACAGATATAAAAGGAGTCAGGAAATCTTTTGGGAAAGGAGCTCAGTTAAATTTGATGCTTTAAACTTTACTGAAAATCAGAACTTCCCTGGCTTCAAAGCAGCAGGGATACAGTACTTTCAAAGGACAACCACCCATCCCCACATTCTCTCCAATAACTGTGAAAACTGGGGGACTTCTAATACTCTCAAGGAGTGTTAGAATTCCACATCAGTCCGTGGATAATGCAGAAAAGCACTTGTAAAAATGAAATGCAAAATCACAACTTTAATTTGATTCCTAATCCAAGGGCACCCTGAATTTTGTGAATACCGTAAATACATTGAACCCAAGTAGGAAGATAAATGGCCACTGAGGTTTCTGTGTTGACTTGGCACCACATTTTTCCTTGTTTATATTGGGCCTCACGCCCCGTGTGATAGACCTCAGGAAAGTGCACTGGCCTGCCAGTCAGAAGATGGGCTCTGCCACTTCCTAGTTCTGTGGCCTCAGGCAGACTTCTTAGATGGCAACCACTAAGTCCTAAAATGACCACAAATGTTGGTACTTACATAATTTGCAAACATTTTTTTATAGGGCCAATTAAAATCCTATTATATAAAATGCTTCATCACTCTGTTTATATCAGATTTTCTACACCGAACTTTTGTGTACACGTGACGTATACTTTGGCACTATGGGTATTAGTGTCGCCATCCAGAATAAGATAAGGGAGTCTGGAATCCCAGTTTGCCCCTTCCCCTCCTCACAACCAACTGGACAACTATGCAGTTCTGAGATAAGTTCTGGGCAGACACAAACACTTCAGCAAGGAGCTCCATGGAGACCTGTAAGCAAACCTGGATCTCCCACCCATAAGATAACCAGGACGTGAGGGAAGGAGAATGCAGGTGGTGTCTGATGGTTTGTTGCCTTTAAAGCCCTTCCCATTTGGCTACTTTCGGACAGGAAGAGTCTGCCAGACTCAGTAAGTTCAGACTTCTAGGTCATTTTCCTGCTTACTCTTTTCCAGATTTTAATGAGCACTAAACTTTTGTTGAAAAATGAATTCTGTTGTTTTATGCCCTCCTTTCCCAAGCTGCTTAGGGCTGAGAAGTGTGGCCCAAGCACTTTGAGGTTCCTTCCTCTGCCTAGGGCTTTGGTTGGATTTGGTAGTTTTAGCAAAGTCGCTGTTGGTTTTTTGCTTTTGTTTTTTTTTTAATCTAATGTCAAGACTATGTTACTATTCTTGAGACCCAGCCTATAGTTAATCTACACGCAAACCATATTAATTCTAAACTGGGTTAGACAAGATAATAAGAGTAGCAAAATCACTCCTCTTTGAAACTGCTACTTTGAAACTAAGTTTCAAAGTAAATACAGCAAAATGTATAAAAAGTGCCACATTATTTTGGGTATTAAATTTTAACTTATACTGCAAAGAGTGGTAGTGGCTGACTCAATAAAAATTTAGGTCTATGATTCACACTTTTTTGACCGTGACCCAAAGTAAGAAACATTTTGTAACTGTGTATACATATACTTAGATACTTTTATACAAATAACAAATGTTTCATAATAGAATGCTTACCCTTACTACATGCAATATGCCCTGATATTTTCTTTCTTTGCTACTTCATTTTTAATAATGCTGGTCACGACCAACTAAATTGCTTTCAGAACCCATGGTGTAAAAAGCACTGATTCATATAACCAATCATTCTTAAGCGTTCTTTGTGCACAGCACATTTCTAAATACTAAAATTTGGGGCAAGATATTAGAAAGGATTAAAAGAGTTAAAACAATAAGTTTGTCAGTGATCTGGACAATCACCATTATTGTTTAAGTGTCCTGCAGCATCAATAAAAGCTTTCCTTACTCATTGCACCATTTCCTAGCTTGCCATTTGGTGCTGTTTAAGGGATTTATTAATATTATTGCCCTGACTATTCTAAGGTACATTCCTCTTGTTCCAGAAGCACCTGATAGCTCTTTGGCATAGGTTTGATGATATGATCCTTCAACTTGAACATGGGACCCCCTCTTGTCACAAACCCTGGGAGCCACATTTCACATACCTTATGATAAACACACAATAATCTAATGTGCTTCCTGTTTGTAACAATAAACCACACACACTGGTCATCAATTGCCGGCTCCCACCCACCCAAGAGGAGCTCGTGATAGACTGGAATATCAGGGTACACCACTTAGAAACTGCAAGACCCACACGCCACTAATGAGTTCGTAAGACATGACTGCAGTATATTGGGAAGTTTCAGACGTACATTCTTTTAAAGCCACTTTGCAGAAAGACTGTCAACATCCTTCTTGTTTTTTTCTAGTCACCCAGCAAGAAAAAGCTAGGTAACTTACTATATTAATTGCCTTGCCATGATTTCCCAAAAAACAGTGCTCAAACTTCAGCATGGGCCTTGGTGATTTAATAGCTCACCCTGTTTTCAAAATAGCCTGTTTTTCTAGCTATCTCTGTAAAAGAATCGGAATTCAAATACAGCCTCACCCACATGTCCATTTCACTTGCAGCAGCCCAACTTCTCAGACAGCCAGACCCCGTCAGAGGGTCTGAGTGCCCACCGCTGCGAGAAAAGCCAGGAGGCAGCACAGACCCCCCGCACAGCCCATGAGGCCCAGCCCAGATTCACAGGAGCTCTTCATCAGTGAGAATCGGTGATGCTTTGTACAGTGACTTGGCTCCCTGATCGAACTGTGTTTGTTTGTTGTCACCCATGCCACAGTCCCTTCCACAGGGTGGGGTGGAGTAAGGGTGTACTATGTAATGGAATAGCAGGAAAACACAAAGCTAGATGTTTATTTTCTGATGAAAAGTCCTGGCTTTGCCACAGTATGACCTTGGCCAAGTCACTTACCCTCCTAGGCCTACTTTCCTTACCTGTCACCTAGCTAATGACCTCAGAGAGATCTTGGGAAAATAGAATGAGCATCCCTTTAAAAGGATATAGCCCTATTAAAACAAAGGTACCACTATTGTTAGCCAACCCACAAGCATCTATCAAGTACCTTCTTTGTATGAGGCAATACCCTTTTCCTTATGGGGCCCAGTGGGAGTGGGGAAATAAGATAAAACAAGAATACAGGAAAAGTTAGAGTTCATGATTAATTACTGTAAAGAAGTACAGATTTCCTATGACTAGACTATGACTGTGGGCTTCAAGAGCTATCCAAGAAGGGCCTGCAAGGACAGGCAGCATTTAGATAGGCAGGCAGGGAACACGGCATGTGCAAAGGCACAGAGGTTGGAGAAGCACAAGTAGATGCCCAATTTGACTATAAGAGAAAGCTGGGAGTGGAGCACAGTTGGCCCTCTGCATCCATGGGTTCCCATAACCAACCACAGATTGAAACTATTTGAAAAGATAAAAATGATAATAAAAATACAAATTTTTAAAAATACAGTATAACAACTATTATATAACATTTACATTGTATTAGGTATTATAAGTAACGTAGAGATGATTCAAAGTATACAGGAGGATATGCGTAGGTTCTATGCAAATTCTACCCCATTTTGTATAAGGGACTTGAGCATCGTGGATTTAGGTATCTGAGGGGGGTCCCAGAACCAATCCCCCGTGGATACCGAGGGGTAACTGTAATAGGCCCACTAAAGCCAAGTGCCTTCCAGGTATACTGCCCCCTTCTGAGACACCCGTCATCCCACCCCTGCTTCTGACCCATCTTTGTGCCTCATGGCCCCACCATCCTTGTTATTTATGGCTGATTGCCCCAGGTGTAGGTAACAAAGGAAGCCACAGGGAGCCTGTCACAGAGGCAGGAAAGCCCTACACCACAGCAGAGTGACTTGCTGAACCAATCGCATTTATTCCCTGCACGGGGGACACAGAAAAGTGCACCAGCAGAGGAGACCAGAGGGACACATGCTGAGTGCAGCTAGTGAAGCCATGACCAAGCAGGAACCTAGAGGGAGAAGGAGGGAGAGAAGACAGAACTTTTTCTATGACAACAGAGAGAAAGCAGAGCCAGGTCTCCAGAACGGGGAGCCTGGAGGGGAGCTCACGGTGTCTGCTGCTCAGTGGACCTCAGGGAAGCTTTGGGCAATATCTTGTTTCCTGGCTTCCTTCCTCCTGGTACATCCTTCCCCTTAAACTCCTTCACTAACCAGGGCAGAGGTTCTCAATCCTGGCTACATATCAGACTCACCTGTGGAACTTCTTAAAACAGATTCTCAGCCTCACCCCAGAGCTACTGAATCAGAATTCCTAGGGATGGGGCCAGGAAAGTGTTTAAGTTGTTCAACTCCACAGCTGATTTCAATGCTCCGCCACCACTGAGAACCAGATTAAGGCAACCTGAGCGTGCACTTCTGCTCCCTGCAACCTGAGAAAGCTTAATATTTATAGAGCAGACTGTGAACCTTAATTTAAAATCATGCTCATTTTTTTCTTATGTTTTAAAACACATACACAAAATTATATTTACCCCAAATTTCACATCAACCTAGCAAACCTGGTTCTTTCAAATAACTTCTGAGTTTCAGTTCCTGTTTAATAATATATATGACAACTCTTAAGAGTTTACAAAGCACTTTAGCCATCTTTTGAAGACTTGCTATGTGTCAGGCACTGTTTTAAGCTCTTTGTACACATCTGCTCATTTGTTATCCTACCAACCTTGCAAGGAGGACATTAACTATCCCCATCTTGGAGATGATTACATACAATTTCAGAGAGGTTAAGCCCAAGATTTAGAGACTTGTAAAGGGGCTGATGGCTTACACCTGTAATCCCAGCACTTTGGGAGGCCAAGGTGGGAAGATGGCTTGAGGCCAGGAGTACAAGCCCAGCCTGGGCAACATAGTGAGACTCTATCTCTACAAAAAAATGTTTTAAAAAATTAGCCAGACCTGGTGGCAGGTGCCTGTAGTCCCAGCTACTTGGGAGGCTGAGGCAGGAGGATCACTTGAGCTCAGGAATTTGAGGTTGCAATCAACTATGATCACACCACTGCACTCTAGCCTGGGTAACAGCAAGACTCTGTCTCAAAAAAGGAAAAAAGAAAACAAACTTGTAAGGGATAAGGTGATAACTTAGACTCAGAACTGTCTGACTACAAGCCTTCTGAGTCTTCCCATTATGCTCTCAGGATGCTTGTTGGAGCCACATAACTCCTTGGGGCAGGACAGGGGTCATGTCCCCATTTTAGAGATGAAAAGACAGGCTATGAGATTCTCTTGTCTGAATCACACCACCCGTGAGAGCCAGAGGATTCGAACTCATGGCTCTGAGTCACACTGAGCCTTTCCACACGGAGTCACTGACTCAGTGCAGTGCCTGGGAAGTGATGAGCACATCTTCATTTTGGGAAAAGAATTACTGAAAACACTCAACTCATTTACTGACTCAAATAATTGTTTTTAGATCTAACCCAGGATAAAAAAAATTTTCCTAAAAATAGAAATTTTTTAAATGTAAGAAATGATCCTTTTTCCTTTGGTTTGTATCATTGATTTCCTACCTTTCAAGGATATTAACACCACTGTAATGTTGAGTAGTTTCACAAACCCTCCCCCACATTAAACCTAATTAAAATGTGTATTCATTTAAAAGCATAACAATTCAGTGTGGCTTTTAGCCATATTTTCTCAATTACAACAGTGTATACTTTTAAACAACAGAAATACATTTATGCTGATTTCTTATGTTTACGTACTCTATCGAAAATGCAAAAAAAAAAAAAAAAAAGCCATAGAAGAAATCATGACAGTATCCAATGAGTTAAAAGTCCTTCTGTCCCTATTATAAATAACATTCAACCTCTTCCAGATAGTTCCAAATTATAATAATCTTTAACATACTCTTGTTGCTTATAGAAATATAGTGACCCAAACACATACCAATATTTATCCATACAGGTCACGGAAAAATATCTCACTCTGATAAAACTCAAACTCATCACAGTCAGGAGTCTTACCTAAAAATGATGACAACAGGACTAAGAGTGTGTTGGTGTCTTCAGCTCCAAAACACGATGAAGCATTAGTGATATTTTCACTGAAGTTCCATAAAGTTTTGCAAACCAAGCAAGCCAGCTGCCAATCAGTAGGACCAAAATCTCTTAAACAATCCACTAACCTGTGTTAATAAAAGTCAAATTGAGAAGTTATTAGGTCATAATGTTTTTAATTTTAATATTTCAGCATGATATTGAATATGCATTATATGTAATTCAGTGATCATTTTAAAAAGTTTCTTATCTACAAATTTAAGTGGCTACAAAAGTAGCAATAATCTACTTCTGAATTATTTTAAGTGCCCAGTGGAACCTAAATCCCCACTTTTGCCCCAGCTTGGGGCTTCCAAATGTTGAAATACCTTTGCCCTGGACAAATGACAAGAGGGGCCCAAGCTTCTGAGAAAACTATATCCTTTGCACCCTGAGTGAGTAAGGACTCCATGCCTTGAAACTTACTTTTTAATGCCACCTCCTTCTTTTAGGATGACACGCTTGTCTTTATCCACAGTGAGATTTAGGAGAACACCACAGGCAGAAAAGCAAATATCCTGATGCTTAGCATCCAGCAATGCAATCATGAACTTGTGTACTGGGAAGGCAGAGAACAAATGCAGATCAGTGAGAGCTCAGGGTTCTCAGCTGTCTCTTGTTTTATAAATGGCACTGGGGAAATGGGGCGTGGCTTGCAAAACTGGAACCCCTATTAAGCGGCTTAACTTATTCTTTCTAGGGCTTTATCCGTCACCCAGCAGTGGGTTCCCCTACACCCACCACTCCCAGAGCCTGCTCCCCTACTTCCCAGATGCTGCTACACATGACCCAGACAGCAGCTGCCTCTCCAGGGTGGCGATAGACTCCCTGCTGGTGGAAAGGAGGGAGCACAGGTGACATTCATCTCTAACTGCTGGTTGTTCTCAAGGGCCTTTCTGAACCTCCAGCAACGACTCTCTTTAAATACACAGCCCGGAAAAGGGGAGTTGGCTCCTGGTGAGATCATCCTTGAATTCTCCCAGGGCCACATTTAAGACTCAGACTGCTGGAAACCAACCTGTGCCAAGGCAGGGCTTCCAGTGTAGGGATATCTCCTGCCGCAGGGGAATCCTTTTCTCCTACTCCTAAGAAACGGAACTGGGAACTCTGTCCTATTTTTCCGTCCCACAGCAGGAGCTGAGCAAAGAGCCGGAGGAGAATGGACAAGGTGTGCACTCTGCCTCCTCCCACTGTACTGAGCACCAGAGAGGGGGCCGCCCTATTGTGGCCTCGGCCCTATTGACTGGGTTGGGAAGTGAGCCTGGCAAAGGCTACATCACATACATATGTACTCTTAAGAGTATAACATGCACACCAAAATGTTAACAGCTATCTCTGGGGGAGTGAGATAATGAGTGACAGTTGACTGCTGCTGCTTTTTATATTTAATATCTGCATTATCTGAATTTTCTATCATGAACACAGATAATTAAGTTTTTAAAATTATTATTCTTACATGAAATACTTGAGACAAAGAGTATGTTAGTATAAACACTTGGGAATCTGCTGCCCAGTTTAAGAAATAAAATATTGCATTCAAACCAATATGCTATACATGGTAAATACATATAATTCTTGTTTACCAATTAAAAATATAAAATAAATTCTTTTCCACAGAGGCTGCACTAACTTACAGTCCCACCAGCAGTGTAGAAGTGTTCCTGTCTCTCCACATCCTCGCCAACATTTGTTTTCAGCTATAAAAATATAAAATAAATTCAGAAGGTTATTATGGGATCGAATGATTTTCCATCTCTGGGCAAAGAAACGGAATAACTGATTTGC